TCCTTCCTTCCTTCCTTCCTTCCTTCTTTCTTTCTTTCTTTCTTTCTTTCTTTCTTTCTTTTTTTTTGAGACAGCGTTTCTCTGTGTAGTTTTGCGCCTTTCCTGGAACTCACTCTGTAGCTCAGGCTGGCCGGCCTGGAACTCACAGAGATCCACCTGGCTCTGCCTCCCGAGTGCTGGGATTAAAGGCATGTGCCACCACCGCCCGGCAGAGTCGTACAGTTCTTGCCAAGCATCTCCTGTTGTAACCTATACAGTCAGGGTTTCTGCAAGCTGTTCAGGCTCTACCTCAAATCTCCCAGGCTGCTCTGTGAGACAATTCAGAAAATCCTGAACATGTTCTGGTGTGTGGGATACGACTCACAACCATCCCCATGGGATTCTGTTTATTCAGAAGAGGGACTTAATGGATAAAGTTCAGAGCTGTCTGTAGACGGCTTAGACACTAGGCACAGGAGCCACAATCGTCTGAGGCTTAGCCATGCTGGCTCTGAGTTCTGCTGTGAGATTTTTATCCTGAGAACTAGGTGGAACTCTTTGGAGCTTTGTTTGTTCTAGGAGTGGATCCCACTTTCCCTGGAGTCAGAGGAGTCTAGCTCTGGGCCCTTAGAAGTGGGATAGTCTGGGGCTGGAACAGTGGCTGCAGATCACCAAGATATATATGAAGAGTTAATTGAAAGAGAAGGCATCTATCTATCTATCTATCTATCTATCTATCTATCTATCTATCTATCTATCTATCTTCATCATCATCATCATCATCATCATCATCACCTATCATCTATCTATATTCAGATTATGAAGAAAATGGAACAGATTTATCAGGGGCTGGTCATACATATATGGATGACATTGATAATGAAATAGACCAGATATTAGGGAAGCTTATGCAAAATTTTGCTTGGAATCAGAGCATAGGCAAAGACAGTAAAATTAAATAAGTATATAAAAACAGTTTAGGTGCGGCAATTTGGCAGAACCCAAGAAAGCAAGAAAATGTGTCAGACTTGTACTAAATTAAGGACGTTGAGTTTTGTTATAATGTATGCAATTTTAATTTTCATTAATACTACCTACCAAAATAAACTTTATTCCCCATAACTTAACATGTGGATGTGTGTATATAGTTCATTATGTGCGGTGAGTTCCACTGTTTTGGCTGTGATAAGATTTTGAAATAAATGAAAAATTGAAAGTAAAAACAAAACTCTCGTGTGAACCTTTTTTGTTTTTAAAGGTCGTGTCTGAATCTTCCTTCTCTCTTCAAATTAAAATACTGTTTGTTAATGCAACTCCAGTTTTTCCAGTTTTCTCTTTCTTCCTTCTCCTCATCCCTCCCTTCTTCCACCCTCCTTCCCTCCCCCCACCCCCACCTTGCTGGTCATGAGGATTGAACTTAGGGCCACATACATTCAAGCCAAGTACTCTACCATTGAGCTATATAGCCCAGGCCTAAATTAACAAACTACTCTTGGAGCAGTTTTAAGTTCACAGCAAAACTGGACAGAAGTGTAGACTTCCCATGAATTGAATTCTCTAACCCCTCCCTCAACAGCCTCCCCTGCTGCTGACACCCCATGCCAGCACACCCAGCATCCCTGGTGAGCAGCCTCTCAGCTCTTAGTCCTGAAATGGCTATAAATGTAACCTAGCCTGACTTCTGTTTAGGCCTGAAGTGGGAGACAGAGCTCTGCCTCACCACACTAAATAGGGTATTTTCTGGAACATGTGAAGGAATCTGCTCCTCTTCACTGGCCCCCACCCCACAGAGACTCCTGTTCAGCCTCCCTGGAGAGCTGGAATCTGTGGATTGGTTATCTGGCGTCTGTGGGTCTTAGAAGGAGCAGAGAGCAGGGTGGGTTTGCTGAGAGCCTCCTGTGAGCTCTCTGTGGGTGTAGGGCATCAGGCAGAGGATGGCTTTTGCAGATAGACTTCTGACTAGGGCTTCTGCTCTGACCTCAGCTAGCAGGATGAGGTATCTTGGGTATCTTGGCAGGTATTTGGAGGTTGTATGCATCTTGGGTACGCATGTGTATCTTGGGGCAGAGATCTAGAGGTTGCCTGAAGTTCAGGTTTCTGGAAGGCAGGCTGGGGCAGGGATAACCAGAATCTTCCTTTTCTTTCTCCCTGTCTACATCCTACCCCAGGCTCTGGCCCTGTCTCCTCCTCTGCACATACATACCCAAACTGAAAGGCCTTTTTCTAGGATTACTGTATGTTCTTTCCACCATGGAAGGAGAGTTCAAATTGCTGAAGAGAAGTGAGCATGATGTGCCTCAACTGAATCTACCAGGCTGAGCTGAATCCCCAGGGGAGTCCTTGTCCTGGAGGAGATGGGAATGGGGGGTGGATTGGGGGGAGGGCAGGAGTGGGGGTGGGAGGAAGGAGGACAGGGGAATCCGTGGCTGATATGTAAATTAAATTAAATTATAAAATTAAAAAAAGAAAAAAAATTAAAGACAAAAAAGAAAAGTGAGCATGGTGTAGCTCATGGCTCTTGCGGGAACTGGGAACCTGGTAGTGGAGGACAGTTGCTAAGAGCTGGGACTTTGTGAATGAGCCCTACAGGTCATCCACATGGCAGACAGGACCAGGCAAGCAATGCTGGGTTTGCAAGGGCTGGAGAAGAATATAGAAAGAGGTGGGGCTTCCAGCTGCCCCACAGATCTGCGATTGTGCTGTGTGGACCTCAGAGCGAAGGTAGAAACCTCACAAAGGTAAACTTGATGCCGTGTTAATGTAAGCAGAAGCAATTGCCTTTAGCATGCGCTTCTGGTTCAGTCCTCCTGGGTGAGTCCCCTGTTAGATTACAGCGGTGACAGTGTCCATGACTGGCCAGGGGCCAACCTAGCTCTGGGTGACTAAGGGGTCAGGATTGACCTAGAAGCCTGGGGTCACTCAGTGCATCTCAGCCCCATGTCTGATCACTTTGCTGAGTCCACACATTGCCATGGGAATGTCACCACTCCTTGAAACAGGTCAGAGTCTCAGGAATCTGATGCTCTGCTGATGAAGCTTCTTTTCTTCCATTTCCAGCCGAAATGCTCCCTCTGATTTGAGCCCATGACCATTTCCCCATTAGATGACTTCCTCCCACCTTAATTGGTCCTTGTCACCTGTGGTGGGATTATCCCAGTTGGAGCTGGTCTTCTGGGTGGTCCATAATTTTCTTGAGGGTAGGGATAACACTCTCAGGTTCTGAATCCTTCACTGGTGTCTTGCTGGGGCCTCCTACGTAAGGGGTCTTACGATGGCAGGATTCAATGACACTGAATGTGGACCAGCCCTTGGAGCTACACTGGGTTTCTGTGAAGTCATATCCTTATAGCAGAGGGGGCTTCCCCTAATCACTGTTGCTACAGAGCATGCCTTTGGTGAGCGATAAAGGACTTTTTAAGCTAGTCTCCAGTTGGTTGCTGGAGGAAAGTGTGAAATCAAGGGAGGTTTCAACACAGAGCCCGGAATGGCCTCATGCCCAGGATTCTGAGACATCAGAAGCAAAGACAAGCCAAGGCTGAGTCAGGCCTGGGCAAGTGAGGACGAAAGAGCCTGCATTTCATCGAAGGTAGGGCTTTGATGGTGGCATTTCTGGTACAGTAATGAGAAATCATGAGTACTAACTGTAGGTTTCCATGGATTAAGCTGCAGGAGCAGCGCCCTATGGAAGCCACACCTGAAGCCCACTCTGCCCTGTTCTGGCCACAGGTCTTTCTCTCTCAGGGCCTCGGAGGTGACCCTGCCTCATTCCACCTCCCCAGGCAAGACAGGGGAGTTCTAGTTATCAGAGATCCAGGATCTCGCCTCTTGGGAACAATCGGGAAAGTCCCTGCTGCGTCAGCCAATAGCACTGTCGCAGAGGAGGGACTTCCATTCTAACGCAGTCATGCCTTGCCTAACCATCTTCCCTGCGGAAGGACTGGAAGGACGGAAGGACATGTGTGCGGCTCCTGAGTCAGGCTCTGCTCCACCCTTTCCCCAGAAGCAAGCCATCTGGATGAGCAGGGAGGGCACAGAATCTTCCTGTAGTGCCCTGGCCCTGGGGAGCAGTGACATGGACAGTTGCTGGGAGAACAGATCTGTGTGACAACAGCACTCCCAGCTGTCACAGGTCATGCCTTCCATCTGCATTCTAGGTCCTTCTTCTAGTCCTTTCCATTTGCTCCCTCGCTTATTCTTTACCTTCCAAGCTGGGTTATGTATGCTTGACAGGCGAGGAAACCCAGGCTTGGGAGAAATGACTCGCCCAAGATCACAGAGGCAGGACGTGGTGAGGTTGTCACACATGAAGGTCCATGATGCATAATATGCAGCTATTGGGAAACATTGGACTTCCTCTGTCTCTGAGGGACTTGATCCCAGGAACTATTTTTGAAAGATGGATATCGAGTCTTACAGCTGGCCTGGGTACCCCAGGATAGCCTTTGATGGCAACCTTCCTTCCCAGGGATCAAAGCAGAGCACCTACGAAACTTCTTTCCCTCCGTCATCTTTGCCTGTGCATGACATCCTTGACCAGTAAGTTCTCTGCAATGGGTCCCATTTCCCAAGTGGGGAAACGGAGGCTATTGGTGCCTGATGAGCATCAAACGTAAGAGAGGGCAGGGTTGGGACCAGACCTTCAGCTTTGTGCCCTAGCAAGTGCCTTCCCTGCCTTTTCTCCTGTGGGGTGAGGCTGCTTTGTGGGTGTGGGGGTGACTCACGTAGGGCACGTGGGTGGTGGGTGTGGCCTGCCTGGCGCCGAGGGCAGGTGGCCCAGCCAGTTCTGCCTCTGATGCTTCATTCCAGCTGTCAGCTATCTCTGCGCCTATGATGAGAGCCTCTCACCTCCCCAGCCACCTTCCTGACGGTGGGTTTTTGGCCCCAGACATGCGGTGATCTCAAAGCAAGGACTGCCACCACCACCTGGAACCTTCCAAGTAAGTCCTTGTCATCTAGGGAAGCTAGTATTCCCCAGAAAGAGTAGAGCATTGGCCTAGGATCCTCTGGGCTGTCTGCCCTTGGCCCATGGGCCTCAGGAAGATGGGCGGGAGAGCTGGGTTCTAGCAGGGGTAAAAAGCCACGCCAGCTTTTGACAACAGGCAGGGGAGAGAATGTAGGCTCTGAGAGGCTCAGGAATTTTCCCCTGATGTTAGGGAATCCCAAGGAAAGAGAAACTCTAGAGCTTGTCTCCCTCAGCTAGCTTAGGGCCGTGAATCTCCATAGCAGGAATGTGATGGGCGTTCAAGATGGGATGAGCTATCTCAGCACTGAAGAGGGACAGGGCCCAGGCACTTACAGGCATGGACGTAGCAGCTATGGAGGTCTCCCTGTGGCCTCTGCCTGGTCTCTGTTCCTAGGACAGGCCGTTTCAATCAGTGTCAAGGCCTTGGCAGGTGTGACATGATACTTCCCGGGTGAGGGATCTGGATCCCAGGGCAGGGAGAGAGTCCAGCAGGTGAGGATACAAGGCATACAGGATGACTCAGGAGCTAATTATAGCTGCTGGAGCCCGAGTCCAGATTGTCCTGACCCCCACTTGCCCCAGCTGTTCAGAATAGCCCACGCTCATGGGACTAGCACAAGAAGGATGGAGCAATTGGTGTCAGGGGCACAAGCTTATTGGGGACCATTCAGCTATTTCTCCGGAGGGAAACCAGGGGATGAGGGAGGGTGAGACACACCTCTGTCCACTTTTGCTCTTGGCCCAGCAAAGCCTTTCCAGCCCCATATGTCCACTGATTGCTTTGGGTAGAGACACACTTATAGGGCACCCATCTGGTTCTGGCTGTGATGGATGTAGGCAGGGGCTGGGGGTTACTTCTGTATCTAAGTAAGTTATCTAAAGTGACTTCAATCGCAGTTGGTCCCCTGACTGCCGAGTGACTTCTTGTCCACACTACCTTTCCATATCTATCCTATTCTGCATGGCTAGCAGCCTCTTCCCCCTCCTCATGATCTCCATGACAACTTCTTCCTGGGGACACTGGTCTTTCCCGCATCCACGGCCTGTTCTCCTTCAGGCTATGTTGTCTACATAACCTGGAGTCTTCCCTAGCTCCCTGCTTCCCTGACATCAGTCTCTGCTTTCAAGTTGTTTGAGGGCTTCACAATGTGGCTCGACTTGTTGCCAAGCCCTTCCCTGCCGGCGATCCCCATGAACTCATCCAGGGTCTCCAGCTCCACCGGCTCCTTGCCTCTCACTGAGCTGTCTTGAGCCCTGGTGATTGTTCAGGCTGTGCCCCCAGCCCAGATGGCATTAGTGCAAATCCCAGTCTTTAAACCTCCTTCTGAGATACATTCCCCAGTCTCCTTGGAGGGTGTGAGCAGCACCTTGTTCTAACTCAGCCCATACTGACCATTAGTAAAGCATATTTGAGGACTGAAGGGTTGACCTCCTCTATCCCAGGGTAAGGGACTCTGCTTCTTCTAAGCAAGAAGGAGTCTGACAGGGTGCCAGTCATGATCTGGCTGTGCTTAGCTTGTGGGGACGGGCAAGAGATGTAGCAGTGGGTGAACTGCTGTAGAGACTACCTGCCGGTGCCAAGAAATCCTAACTCTGCCAGCTGCGTTATTTAGAGCAGTGGCTGGAGAAAAGGAGGTGACATTGGTGTTCTGTCAAGGTCAAAGAAGTGTGACCTTGACACTGAGATCTGGATACAAAGTCTTGAGGGGAGGCATTGAGAAGGCAAGTTAAGTCTCAGAGGTCTATCAGAGAGTGATAGGGCTAGAGATGGTGATGGGAGGCCGGAGGCTGGGTGCTTCCTCTCTGGGTGCTATGCTGGGCTCTCGTCGGGCTTCGGAAGCGGGGGTGTATGGAAACTGCAGGAACAGTTTGCCTGTGACCAAGAAAGGCTGACAGTTTGGGAAGGGAGGGAATGAGTTTCCTGTTGGAGAGGTATGGGCAGGAGGTAGATGGTACCCCATGGGAGTCTGAAGCCCCCAGAAGTTACCTCCTGCCTCCTCAACCTCAGCGTGTGTCTTGTGCTACAGCAATGAATGCCCACTCCAAGGAGATGGTGCCCCTCATGGGCAGAAGAACCACCGCGCCCAGTGGGAACTCCGTTGTGCTGACTGAGAAGAGGCCGGCAGATCTCACCCCCACCAAGAAGAAGTAAGACTGAAGGCTTAGGCCTGAGCTTTGTACGGTGTGGGGCACTGGAGGCACCCACTCCAGCGATCCCTTGTTTCCCATAGACTCAAGACTCTGTCATCTGGGGTGGCCTGATGACAGACTGGGTATAACTTGGGGGTGGGGCGCAACTTTGCATATTCAGGTGCCTTTGCTGAGGTCTTCATGACTGGCACAGGGATGGCATCTCCTTGGAGGGGATGGAGGAACTGAAGTAAGAACATTCAGGAAGGCTCTTGGGAGGGGGGTAAGGGTTGCCCAAGCAGTTCTTGGGAACAGGAGTAAGAGGTGGGTGGCATTCTAGGTAGTCTGGATCCTCAGCTGGCCATGTTTTTCTCACCTATACAAGTAGCTTTCAATCTACTGTGAAATCAAGCCTGTATAATGGATTGTATTGGGAAAAACTGGGGAGGAAGAAGGTGCTATGAGATGGATTCAGTATTGTGCAAAGTAAAATTACTGGGAACTCACAGAAAAAAATGTACTTTGGGAGACAGCAAAACAGGTGACTTGTGGCATGCAAGGAAGGAGGTAGATGTTTCGAGCTAAGCTGGAGAAAGGTGGCTGTAGCTAACCAGAGTATACCCAGCTTTTCTCATGGCCATTCTCAGTTAATAAGCTGAGCACATAATACCCTTGGCTGACAATTTTCACTTGAGAGAGGATCTTGCTATGTTTCTCAGGCTTGTCTGGTACTTGATACATAGCCAAGGAGAGTCTTGAACTTAGGATCCCCTGCCTTCGAAGTGCTGGGGTTACAGATGTGTAGCCCCACATTCAGCTTTGGTTATTGTAATGATGATGTGTCTCGTAGGGCTTCCAATGCATGGCACAGTCATCTGGTGGGAAAAATGGAGATTGTGGTCGAGATGGCTAGAGTTGTGTCAAGCTGGATCTCTATATGAAGACACTACTAAGGACACCAACTTATAAGACACAGTTAATTGCCATTATGTTGATAAAGTGGTTAGCACAGTCAGGGAGATCAGTGCACAGTGTGTGTTGACTTTGATGATAGTATGGGGCTCCTGGGAGCTGGGCAGGCTGGAGTGGTTCTGTCTCACTTCTAAGCTGAGGATGCTGGGACAGAGAACAGACTTCTAGATCTCCATGGCTGATCTTTTTGGTTGATTGGATACTTCTCGGTTGGGGCAAGCTACACATAGTTCAGCTATGCTTTGCCTGGACCCAGGGTGGTCCACAGTCTAGGATGGCTCATTTGCCCTGCCTCCTCTGCCCCAACTCCAGCCTTCCTCTTGGGCCACTGCAGAACGTGGTTTCTTCTGCTGGCCTGTTGGTTAAAGTCAGAGTCATTGAGGTTCCCTATCTACCAGGAGACAGACAACTTAACACCGAGATAAAGAACACCCCCTCTTGCTCATAGCCTGGAGTGGGGGCAACAAAGGAGAATGTGAGAAGTATGTGAAGTAAGTAAAATAAGTCACGGCAGAGGTGGGCTGAGGAGGGGACAGGTCATTCTGAGCCTGTGGACAGTCTGGAGCACTTCATAGGGGAGGTGATATAAGAGTGGGCTTTGGTAGGTGGAGTTGACAGGAAGGGTATGCTGGGTAGTAGGACAGGAGAGTGAAGGCTGAGAGCAGGGTCTAAGGAGTTTTAGTAGCTGAAGTGCCATGAGGGTAGAAGAGCCATAGAGAAACAAATCCTATTAGGACCAGGTGTTGGGGATCTGTTAAAGTATACAGATGATCTTGGGAGGAGTGGGGGAGTCTCAGGGTGATTTCCTGAAGGAGGTATAGGGAGATAGGAAGTTTGGAAACGTGGCTTTGGATGACCCATGTGGACAATGTGGAAGAAGGGAGACTGGGGACAAAGAGACCTTGAGGAAGCTGTCAGGAAGCAGGTGATAGGTGGTAAGGTCTGAGCCTGGGAGTCAGGGATGGAGGAAGAGATGGATGAGAGTGGAGTTAGTCATGGGATCTTCCAGGGGCAGGAAGGGAGAAGGAAGAGCCATAAGATAGACCCTTCCTCTGGGGTAACTCAGAAGGATGGCGGGTTACCTTGATCAAGAGCCCACCAAAGGAGCAAGGGCAGGAGTGGTAGCCAAGGTCATGTGTGAAGTACCAAGTAAGAGGTGCCTAGAGGACTAGGCAGAGCTTCTACCCTGGAGTCCAAGAGAGAAAGCTACGAGGAAGTAGGGGTGAGGCAGGTGGCATGTGAATGGGGGCAGCCTGATCTTTATGGACCAATCCAGGAAGTAACAGAAACACAACTGACCTAAGCCAATATGACCCATCTTTCTGGCTCCCCTTCCTTCTTACTCCCAGGGGAGGTTTGGGAATAGGAATAGGGTTGTGGACAGGCTCTCAAGAAAACCCCGGGTTCTTCCACATCAGGCCCAGCTGAACTGCTCTTTTTGAAGCCCATGTCTGTTCATGAAATTAGTTACAGGCTCAGAGTTAGTGGCCAAAGATTGCCTGGCCCAGTCAAGGGTATGAGGTATGATTTTTGTCTCTTGAAGTGGTGGTCCCACAGACTCTCTGAGGATTCTCATGTGAAGGTTTGAGCCTTTCCCTCAGAAATGAGTATAAGACTGGGCCTAAAGAGAAAAAAGAAAGAGAATAAATTATATGTGAAGACAGAGTACAATGCCAGTCATTACGAACTATTAGGCTATGAACTAATGGGAGAATTCAAGGCAGGAGGCCTACAGGTCTACAGAGGGGAGAGAGCTTTCCTGAGCCACCATGCCATTCCTTGAATAGTTGCCACATTGGCCTCCTTATTGGGTCCTAGGCAAGGGGACATACAGGGTCAGTGAGTTGGCCTTGGGGAGTTTAGACTTTAGAGCTTGGACATTTCTTGGGCAAAGTCAATGGGTAGGCAAGCTCCTCTCTAGCCCTAGGTTGCTTCCTGGTCTTGGAGTTGTCTCTCGAAAGTGACAGAAATGGTGGAGAAATGATGTACAGCTGCCTGTGCACCTGTGTCAACCACACCTAGGTTGCACCCTTTGGCCTGGACCAAAGGAATAAACAAGAGCATCTGCAGCAGGCAGGAGCCAGGATGTCACGTGGTCTAGACCTTACCATGTGCTTATGATAGTGGGTGGGACGTGGTTGTGTAGTGTCAAGTAGGGCAGGGATAGGTCAGGCCCTGCCTCGTGAGTTAGGCTCTTGCCCAATGGCCTGGTCTTCCCCAGCCTAGCTGTCATCACTCCTCTCTCCACATCTTGTTCTCTGGGCTCCAAAGCTTTCCTTTTCCAAGACAGACTTCCTTTCCAGCCCAGGAGGTATTTCTCATTCTTCTCTCTGCTTCAAGGCTTTTCTAGAACCAGAGGCGTATTTCAATATCCAGACTGTACTCCAGTTAGCACAGCACAGAGCTTCTAATTCCTGTCCTCGATTATAAGGGCCTTCATTGTTCTTGTGCTCTTATAACCCCCTGGAGAGACTGTTGTGGTCACTGGGACACATGTGTTAGCCCTGGTTGACATTTCTGAGGATGGGGTCTCTGGAAGGGGCCATTATCCCTGTCCTATCCCCTCAGTTCCATACACTAGACAACTGATTAGTCTCGAGTAAGTGGAGGAGACGAAGGATCAGGAAGACAATGAAGAGAATGTGTGAGCCAATGAGGAAGCTGTCCAGAGGCTCAGCACCAGTGACATCATTGCATCGGTGAGATGATGCTTTCCCTCTTCTGTGTGGCCCTCAGCTTTAGGCTTGGGTGCTGAACACTTACATGATATGGCTTTCTGTGTCATTCTTGATCTTGAGGAACCCTTGAGAAGAGGGGACTCTGTGGAGGAGTGACAAAAGACCCCACTTCAGCTTTGTGTATGAGACTGAGGAGGGGCAAGAAAGGGTGAGAGCTTTCAGCAACTGGGAGCACAGCCAGGAAGGATTTAGCCTCCACCATTGACAGTTTAAGATTATGTTGAATGTCTGAGCATTGATCATATCCACATACCTCTCCACCTTATCTACCTACTTGATTACTTATTACCTGTCCATCCATCCATCCATCCATCCATCCATCCATCCATCCATCCATCCATCCATCCATCCATCCATCTACCCATTCTTCCATTATTCTGTTGTCTACCCACTATTCACCTATTAACTCATCTGTTCTCTGTCTGACCAGCCATTATTCCTTCCACTTAAATATGTCTCACTACTCACTTATCCTTTCATACATCCATTCAGTGGGGTCTTCTGAGTACCAGGACCACTGTTAGGAAATCAAAGTTGATTCTGGAAAATCAAAAATGTCATTATAGTCCTTGCTGTTGGGAAACTTACAGCTGAATGATCATATTGTCCAGAGCAAAGGACCAAATGACCCATCTGTGCTGTGCATCGGTCTTACCTTGGAGCCAGTTTTGATCAACCCATTGAAGTTGCAGATCTGGAAAAGAAGGGATTCTCCCTGCATCATAGCCACAGGACCAATGCCTGTCACCTTGTAGGAACTTGATACGTATTTGTTGAAGCAGCCTCAGGGGCAGGGTAGGCTCAATGGAGGACCAGACCAAACTTTCTTGGAGAAAATCCACATGTGTGAGTTTGGGGCTCTGTATGGAGAAAATCTGCCAATTCTTAATCAGGATATCTTGAGGCCGAACCTCCAGTAGATGTACTTAGAACTTCTGAGTCAGGCTGCCATAGTGGAGTGGGGGCAGCTTTGGAGTGATGGTTCAGGCTATGGTAACCTAACTGGTTAACCTCTAAGGTCTACTTCAGCTGGACATCCCATAAGTGGATGGTCTTAGGTTGCCTTGTCTGGGAATTATCTCACCCAGTATCCCATCAGCTGAGGATTCCTGGTCCAAAGATGGAGAGTACCCACCTGGAGGCAGATGCTGAGCTTGACCAGAACCCAAGCTTTGGGTCCCAGTCAAAGGTTTTCTCTTCCCTTTGCCTTCTCTCTTTCGATATTTTTTTTTTGTTGTTGTTAGAAGCATTTGCTTTTAGATAAGGCTAGCCTCCCTGCCTTTTCCTTTTTCTCTCTCCCCTGTTCCTCTTAACAGGTATCCCCTGTATCCCAGACTGACTTTGAACAATCTTTCTGCCTCAGCCTCCTGAGTGCTCCATAGTGTGAGCCACCATGCCTGGCAGAAGGCTCCTCTGTGATGGTCAGAAGTCAGGAGGGGGAAGGCCAATGTGTCCTCTGCCGCTTTTATGGATTTATTATGAGCTTTAGGCTTGTCTGTGTCTAAAGTGAGGAGGGGAACTTCCCAGGTCAGCCAGGATTCTCCTGCCTGCCCTGATTGGGTAGCCCCCTTTTAGGTAACTCCCTTGCAGTGGATTCAGCTGGAAGCAGGCTGGGAAGACCGAGCTGAGAGCAGAGCAATGAGCATTATTACTGTGTCAGTCATTAGCTTGGACTGCAGGAAGCAGGTCCTATGGCCAACTCGAGTCTACCCTGGAAGGAGGTGCTTACTCATCCTTAGCCTTAGACGCCTTGCCTGTAGACTGGAGCTCTCTCTGATCACACCCTGCCACTCTTCCTTCTAAACTTGAGATGGGAGGAACTGCACTTTGGAACATCCTCCATTCTGGGCCTTGGAAAGACTCAGGCAGCAAAGGTGTTTAGGAATGCTGTGTGCCTGCTGTCAGGAGGGTCGTTCTGGATGGCCTGTGCTGCAGCAGCTGCAGGGTTGGTTGGATGTACTGCAACTGAGCTCACCCTCAGCTGATCCTCACCTTAATGTTACCAGAAGACTCATCTCCCAGTGTGTGACTGTGGTGTCCAAGGTCACGTGTATCTGCATTTGTGGGTGTGGCTGACTGTGCTGGTGTGTCTTGGGTAGAGTGTCTGGTAATGTGTGTCTTCCATTCCCTTGAAGCCTGAGGAGAAAGCTGGCCGTGGCTTCGTCTCTCTTTCACTGCCTCTAGTGTTTTCTGGGCCTCCCCTCCTTTCTTTTTCCTTTTTAAAATTCACTTTTTTTTGCTAGTATATATCAATTGCACAAAGTTAGGGCTTCATTATGACATTCATGCAACGCACACAATGTGCTTTGACCATATTCTCCCCTCTCGTTACCTTTTCTTTTTCTAAAAAATAGTTTTGAGCATCCATTTATTTGTATGTGAATATATATTATTATGTGTATGGGTGTTTTGCCTACATGTATGTCTGTACGCTATGTGTGTGAAATGCCCACAGAAGCCAGAAGAGGGAAGGTATGGGATCTCATAGGCCTGGAGTTACAGATGGTTGTGAGCCGCTGTGTGCATGCTGGGAATTGAACCTGGGCCTTCTGGAAGAGCAGCTGGTGCTCCCAACTGCTGAGTCACCTTTCTTATTCTTTCTTATCCCTTCTCCTTTTATCATTATCCTTCTCGGCCCCCAGCGTTTTCACCTGTAGTTTTGGGTCCCTTTCTATCTTCCACCTAGGAGAGAAAAGATGGTATTTTGTGTTCCTAAGTCTGGCTTATTTCACTTAGCAGGCTGACCTCCAGTTCCATACATTTTCCTGAAAATGGTACAGAATCTCATTCTTTGTGGCTGAATAGAATACCATCTTATAAAATACCATAGTTCATTTGTTCATCTGTGGGTGGGCAGCTTGGCTGATATTGTGACTTGACTGTTGTGAATAGTGATGCCTTAAACAGGAACATGCAGGTGTCCTTGTAGGGTTCTTTTTGCTATAGGCCTATGTAGATCGTATAGCTGGGTCACACAAAGTTCTGTTTTTGAGGTGCTGCCATACTGATTCTCAGAGCGGCTTTACTATTTTACACTCCTTATAGCGGCGTGGAAGGGCTCTTTTCTCACCCACCCCCATTCCTGCCACCCTTTAGTGTTGCCTGCCATCTTGATAGCCATTCTCACATGATATATTTTATTTTACTTAGAGATAGTCCTGCTATGTAGCACAGGCTAGCCTTGAACCTATGATCTTCTTGACTCAGCATCCTGAGTGATGAGATTAAGGGCATATATCACCATGTCTTGTCTGGGGTTTTCTTCTTGGTGGGGGATACCTAGGCTGCCGGCCCCTTGAGTTCTCCCTGCCCTAGACTGGCTTTCTCAGCCCATTTTCTGTTCTGGCAAAGGGACTGATGGGTAACGAGAGCAGCCAGGGTGACTCCGGCCCTCCCCCTTGAGTTGCTGCAAGGTCTGCCTGGATTTGAGTCTAGGACCCCTTCTAAAAGGCTTTGCCTTCGGGCCTAGGTTTTAGGAGAAACTGGATGGCAATGGGAAACCCAGCTCCTGCCATGTTCCCATGTTTGAAAGACCTTATACCTGGGTACAGCTGCAGGTCCTCAGGTGCTGCGCCATCCTCACTGAGCCTCTTGGGTTCATCCATATGGTACTTCTAGAGACAAGAGTTGTTCAGACTCAGCTTAGAACCCAGAGTCTACTCCATCCCTGAGGGCGAGGCTAGGACACACAGCACACAGGCTGAGGGCTTAGTATGGGTGGGTCATCTGTGGCAAGGCTGCAGGACACATAGGCCCTGCCCTAGCTCTAATGGTCTTGATTGGATGTCCCCTCAGTGCACACTTCTTCCTGGAGATAGAAGGTTTTGACCCCAACCCTACAGTCACCAAGACCTCTCCTCCCATCTTCTCCAAGCCAATGGACTCCAACATCCGGCAGTGGTGAGTACTGGCTGCTGGCCTGGACACATGGCTGGGCCTGGCTGTGGCATGGTAGCATTGCACATTTCTAAATTTGTCCTGCTCTTCTCCCTCTCTTTCCTCCCTCTCCAGCCACTCAGGCAATTGTGATGACATGGACTCCCCTCAGTCTCCTCAGGATGATGTGACAGAGACCCCATCCAATCCCAACAGCCCAAGGTCTGTGTGGCCCTCCCCCTTATCTCCCTGTTCTCAGCAAGGGGAGGTGTCACAGGGAGGGGCTGCACAGGAAAGAGACAGAAACCATCATCCCTGGGGAGTTGGGACAAACAGCTGGAAGTCTGGGCCATGGTTGCAGCATGTGACATTCTGTGGAGAAGGGTGAAATATCAGTAAATTATAAAATGCTATTTGTTCATCATAAACATCCAAACAATGCACAGGAGAATAAGGGCTTTAGCACAAGTTTTTTAATTATATAAACTTAGAATCCATTCACAAAGAATGCATTTTTGCAAGGGCACATACAAACTGAAGTACATCTACATTCCAGCGATGGTCTATGCCAATGGACTGTGGAGGCAGAGAGGGATAGACGGAAATGTTCAGATAGGGAGATGAACCGGAGTATTCCCTTCCCTTAGTTTCGTATTCCAAAGTAATGGCTCCGATAGGTATACGTCCTTCTTGATCATCCCCGTGCGCATGCAGGCGTATTTTGATCAATGTGATTGCATAGAGACTGGAATGGGAGCCTGATCAGGTGACACGGGGCACAAACATGGGCATCCCCCAAGACACGAAAGGCACAGGAGTTGGAGCGGTGGCCCGGAGGCCAGCAGCTCTGGTGGTGGAGGAGAAGAGGGTAGGAGTCGAAGTTATCTCATGTGGGGTGAATTCACCAGTGCCTTCTGGTCTTAGCGCAAACCTGGCCAAAGAAGAACAGAGGCAGAAGAAGAAGCGGCTGAAGAAGCGCATCTTCACGGCCGTGTCTGAGGGCTGCGTGGAGGAGCTGTGGGGACTGCTGCAGGAGCTGCAAGAGCTCTGCAAGCGGCGCCGCGGCCTGGACGTGTCTGGTCAGTGCCCAGCCCTGGTACAGGGTGGTGCAGGTCCCGGGCACCCTGGTTGGTTCGGCTCGGCCCCTGCTCCATCTCCTGTGGGGCTGGAGGGTGAGGCATCTTGGATATTGGCATAGCAGCCTTGAGCTTGACAGAGAGAGCCGTGGGGGAGTATGGATGGGTTTAGGCAGGCAGAGGGCATGGTCTGGCTGTAGGGTGGAGTAAATCTGGAGAGAGTTGCTATTCAAACATTGTCGGGACCCTGAAGCAGGCCTGGGAGAGGGGGGAAGAGTTCTGGAGAGTTCCTCAGGCATTGGCAGGAATTGAAGGATTTGGAGGAGGTTCATAGCTGTGTGGGGATCAAGGTGAGGAGCGGGTTGATGGGGAGGTGATGAGATAACTTTTAGGCTATGAGGAGGGGTAGGATGGAGATTTCAGCACAAACATGGGCTGTGGGAAGCCAGGCAGCAGGTGACATGGTCTCCCCTCCAGAGAGAAGGTGGAAAGGTCAAAGCGCAGCGGGTGCTGGACGAGGCTTTCATAGGTGGCAGAGAGCTGTGAACAACAAACCCGGAAGGGAGCTGGAGGAGGGGCTGGGGAGAGGAAGGGAGAGTGCCAGGTAGTACAGGGACCCCCCAGTGCAGGGTAGAGGACACGCTTTCGAGGTGTGAGGTTGCAGCTCTCACACCGTGTTCTGTCTGGGAGGCCCAGGGCAACCAGCCTTTCCTGCCCCCGCCTTTATCCTTGACTCCATCTGCAGACTTCCTCATGCACAAGCTGACAGCCTCAGACACCGGGAAGACCTGCCTGATGAAAGCTTTGCTCAACATCAACCCCAACACCAAAGAGATCGTGCGGATCCTGCTTGCCTTCGCTGAGGAGAACGGCATCCTGGACAGGTTCATCAATGCCGAGTACACGGAAGAGGCCTATGAAGGTACCTGTAGGCAGAGGCAAACTAAGGGCAAGAGACAGAGGTTGGGATTTCCCGAGGTGAGTGTGGCTACAGAGCCATGCCAGTCTTGCTACACCAAGGCACTTTGGCCATGAAGTCAGATAGGCAGAATAATGCTGAGCAGGGGTGGACAAGTCAGGAAACGGCAATACTCTAAAAAGGAAACTTTAGACAGACTCTACTAGGAATGGAAATAATGGCAACAGGGAGTGACTGGGGTGAGCAATTGTGTTTTGACCCAGAGTCTACCTGATGGGAAGAATCCAGAGCAAGCTCAGAGGAAGAGCCCCAAGATGGGCATGGGTTTGACTGATTTGGCCACAAATCCTCTTCCTTCTCAGCCTCTCCTAGTCTTTTGATTTCTCCGCCAACCCCTTGCTGTTAGACTTGCAGAAGGTCGTGGGCATCTTTGCCCTTCCTGGTTTTCTCCACGGTGGGGTGCCGCTCGTCCTTGCTTTCCCAGACCCCAATGGCCACCAACATGGTGTCGGCCACACAGTATCTGCACCCTTAGTGTTTTCAGTCAGCTACTGCTACCTGGGGAGAGGGGCTCCAGGATCAGCTTAGGTTGCTCCAGGCCTTTGAGTGCACGTGCCCTTTCTGTTCTCAGGGCAGACGGCGCTGAACATCGCCATCGAGCGGCGCCAGGGAGACATCACAGCGGTGCTCATAGCAGCGGGCGCTGACGTCAACGCGCATGCCAAGGGTGTCTTCTTCAACCCCAAATACCAGCACGAAGGCTTCTATTTCGGTAGGTGACACCGCCAGGGTTGGGGGAGAGGAGAAGGGGCTTCCTGCCCTGAGGTCCGTTGCAACCGGCCCCGCACTGAAAGACGGGGCGGGGTGGGGGGTGGTGGTGGAGGTGGGCACTGAAAGACGGAGTCCTCTTCTGCGGATCAGAGACCGGACTGGTGTTGACCCATCCCAGAGGGATCACCGGTGACACCTCCAGAGAGGCCCACTAGGGTGGAAGAGCCTGCTTGACAGTGAGATCCTGTAGCGGAAGGGGTCACATCTGCAGGGAACAAATACTGTGTGTGTGTGTGTGTGTGTGTGTGTGTGTGTGTGTGTGTGTGTGTGTAAAAGGGTGTGAAGGACATAGCCGTTATACAGGTGAGGACATTGGACTGAGGAGTAAAGTGACCTGCCCTAGAGCAGAAAGGCAGAGATGGGTGACATTTGTCCAGACTGGTAGCGTGAGTGGGGAGAACCCCTGTCCCGTCAGAAACCCAAAAGCAGTTGCAGTTGTGTTGTGTGTGCTCAAGAGATGTCCTTAGAGAGATGCTGCTTGGTTAGGTTGTGACCTCTGCAAACTTGAGGTTCTGGAACTTTCTGGTAGAAACTCTCGGCTATGATGCCTATAATGTCCTTCCTTCACAACCTCCTGGCTTAATTTAGTGTTTTGTTTTTCTTGGTGTTTGCATGTGTGTTTGTATGTGTATGTCTCTCTGTGTGTGAGACTGTGCATGTGTGTGTATGTATGGTGTGTGTGTCTGTGTGTGTGTGTGCATGTGTGTGCTGGTGTTAGTGGGAGGAAAGACACAAATGCCTTTCCCCCTCTTCTGACAATGTTCGCATTGCCTTTACAGATTCTCTGGGTTTAGAAAAAAAGAGACATGTAACTTAGGTATAGTGGAACCCACCCATTTTAGTGCACAATTCTGTTATTTTTATTTTTTATTTATTTTTTTTTTGGTTTTTTTTTTTCGAGACAGGGTTTCTCTGTGTAGCTTTGCGCCTTTCTATTTTTATAAACATATTTATTACCACCATCACAGTAAGGAGAGGCAAGAGGAAGCTCCACTGGCCTGACTGTCACTGCTCTGCTCTGGTTTGTTTTTTTTTTAACTCCCTCTGTAGCCCAGGCTGGCCTCGAACTCACAGAGATCCTCCTGCCTCTGCCTCCCCAGTGCTGGGATTAAAGGCGTGTGTCACTACTGCCTGCCTTTCTTTTTTCCCTCTCTTTTTTTTGGAGTGTGTATGTGTGGTTTACATGCCAGGTGTATGCGTGTGGTGTAAGTGCATGTGTGTGCAGAGGTCAGAGGCCATCTAGTGTCCTCCTGTATTACTTTTCATCTTTTCCCCTTGAGATACCAGCTAGGCTGGTGGCCAGTGAGCCCCTGCAAACTGCTGGTCTCTGCCCCCATAGCAACCATGCCCAGCTTTCTGTGGGGGTTGAGGATTTGAACTGAGTTCTTCATGCTTGTACAGCAAACACTCTTATCCACTGGGCTATCTCCTCAACCCCCCACCTCTGGCTTTTTAATCAGCAGGACTAGATGAGTCTGGGCATCTTTGAGGTCAACTTCTTACTCAGTCATTCTTGTGTCCTCATTGCCCAGCACAGGACCTAATTACAGCCAGGGTTGAGAAACATTTGTTGGGTGGAATAAGAGAGGACAGAGGCGGGAGTAGAGCAGAGGAAGAGGAAGCAGGAGTTTTGTACCGGTGGGCGGGAGGGTTTCTAAATTGTAAACAGGGTGGTTAAAGTGAGTCAGTGAAAAGTGGGATCTGAACAAAGGTGGAATAAGCCATGCAGAGTATCCACAGGACGCAAGAACAGCTTATGCAAAGGCCCTGAGGTTAGAGAATGTCCCATGTTGGAGGAAAGGAGGCTGTTGTGCCTGGAGAGGTGTGGGTGTGGCTGAGAGGATGAGAGGACAAAACATGTAAGGCTTTCCAGGTTGTACCCGAATTAGCGTCTTCATCCTGGGTAAGTGGGGACCTAACTGGATTGTTCTGCTCCTCTGCTGAGCAGAGTGTTGGAAAGTTAGTGGGGAGCCGGGAGAGCACCTGGCTACCGGTGTGATCTTGCTTCAGTCTTTACTGAGCAAAGGGAGGTGGGAGGTGGTCAGGGAACCTCGGGGATCAGTGCTGCTGTGAAGGTCAGCATCCGGGACTCTGGGCCTGGGGCCTGGAGGGTATTGCTTTGGGCCTGTGAAAGGACTGAACTCTGAGCCTCCTTTCCCCAGGTGAGACACCCCTGGCCTTGGCAGCATGTACCAACCAGCCCGAGATTGTGCAGCTGCTGATGGAGAATGAGCAGACGGACATCACCTCCCAGGACTCTCGGGGAAACAACATCCTGCACGCGCTGGTGACAGTGGCTGAGGACTTCAAGACCCAGAATGACTTTGTTAAGCGCATGTATGATATGATCCTGCTGAGGAGCGGCAATTGGGAGCTGGAGACCATGCGCAACAATGACGGACTCACGCCACTGCAGCTGGCTGCCAAGATGGGCAAGGCCGAGGTGGGGCCCTGCAGCAAGGGTGGGGACTGGGGAGGCACAGCTGCCACTCTGTCAGCCTGGGGCCCGTCTGAGGATCCCACAGGTTCCAGCTTCAACCCCGGAGAGGCCCCAGCTTAGGTCTGGAAATGCAGTGATTGCTCAGGGAAATCCAGCATGTGCTCCATGCTTAGGACATCAGTCCTGTACTCTGGAGCAGCTCAGTCTCTCTTCCTGGGACTTCCTCGGTGGGGCCAGATGGGGAATCCCTAAGGCCGAGGTGATGCAATATCTCAGGTGCTTTGTGGTTGAGCATTCCTGAGTGGTGATGCTCAACCACAGGCTGTGTGTCTGTCCTTCAGGCTTGCCTTTTCTGTGGTTCCAGAATGACTGCTCTGGGTCCACAGCCAAGGGGTTTCTGCTCCCTGACAACAGAAGGACCTTAGTCTGTTGGTCAGGCCTCTTCTCCAGCAGAGCCCTTTGCCTGTGTGATGTGGTCAAAGAACTCTAGGCTCATCTGTGCATCTTGGGAAGACCTAGGCTGGGCCAGGCTGATACGTTTTGTTTATCTGTGGCTGGAGCTGTGGCTTGGCTGAGATCAAGTTTCTTCTGAGGGGACGGATCTTGGGAGGGGACTGTGGTTCCTGGGAGGCTGTGGGAGGACACTGGATGGTTGGCACTTATTGAACAATTCCAGCTGTGTACCCTCTACCTCTCCTAGTCAGCTGCCCTGAGGTCAGGCCAGGGCTGGAGCTCACAAGGGACCTTTTTTTTCCCTTGTGGGGGAGGAGATGGAAACGGCTTTAACAAAGGGAGAATTGTATGTCTGACGCCCCTGTCCTGCTACCCAGGGTCATAGCTTGCAGGGGCTCTAAGGAGAGCCAGAGGGTATTTGTGTAGTCTCGTTTCTTCCATGAGCTTTTCCCTGCATGCCACTGTCTCATTTGTGCTCCCTGCTACCCAGCCCAGGGAAGAGACATCTTTTGTTTTTGTTTTCTGTTTTGTTTTTCGAGACAGGGCTTCTCTGTCTTAGTTCTGGTGCCTGTCCTGGATCTTGCTCTGTAGACCAGGCTGGTCTCAAACTCACAGAGATCTGCACGGCTCTGCCTCTCGAGGGCTGGGATTAAAGGTGTGCGCCATCACCGCCTGGCTGGGTAGATACATCTTGAAGAGATGCTCTAAGGCTGTGGTTCTCAACCTTCCTAATGCTGCAGCCTTTTAATATAGTTCCTCATGTTTTGATGACCCTCAATCATAAAATTATTTCGTTGCTATTTCATAACTGTGATTTTGCTACTGTTATGAATCGCAAGGTATCTATCTGATATGCAACTCCAAAGGGGCCTTGACCCACAGGTTGAGAACTGCTGCTCTAGGGGATCCTGCTCTCATCCAGGCCAGTCTCAGGGAGGTACCCACCAGGGAGGTTCCTGAGTCCTCTCCTTTATTCAGTGCTTGTGGAAAACTTTCCTGGATGTCACCCAAGGTGGCTGCCAGACTGGGAGTGGAGGACACAGCAATGCTGAAGCCACAGAACTGCCCTTGGGGCTTTTACCCATGGGGTCTAGGAGCTGTCTGCCTGGCTGTGACGGGAGATGCAGTGGGAATGTGTGGAGCCGAGTGAGATTCACACACTGATGCTGTCCTCCTAACAGGTCCCTCTTGTTGGGCTGTGGGTTCATACCCCTTGGTGCTCTATCCCCAATTTAGGGCGATCAATGGCTTAGCTTTCAGAAAGTGGTACCATGGAGAGCAGTGGCCCTCCTGCACAGGGGACCTACCCAGAGAGCTTCACAAAATGGTCTCCAGGTTTCTTCCTGCATCTGGAGTGTTAGCAATTGGCTTTGTGTTTTAAAAACTCCCCCGAGACCCTAACATACAGTCGAGTTTGAGGACCACTGACCTACAGAGTGGGTTCCACGGGCCTCTTTGTGAAGGCTGGTGCCTGATGTCATAGCTTGTTCAGCTAGAGTGGTGAGCCTGGCTGTAGAGTCTAGACTGAGGGTAGACTGGAGAGCAGAGAAACCGAGAGCTTCAAGTTCAGGAGATTACTTCTAAAAATGGTCAGTTCTTGGATTATTTCCTGAACTGGAGCCCGGCTTTGGGGACCTACTAGCCGATGGTTTGGCTCTCTGCAGTGTGCAAAGGGCTCTCGTACTCTGGTTCCCCATGAGAAGGCAAGAACTGTGAACTTCACTCCCATGTCGCAGACACAGCTGGAACCCAGAGCCATGGCTCCAGGCAGAGGTGGCACTCATGCTATTTATGGTAGGAACATTTTCGGGGTTGACCTGCCTCTGGCTGGTCCAGCCCTGTTGTCCCCAAGCCCCATTGTCCTTCTTTCCATTCCAGATCCTGAAGTACATCCTCAGTCGTGAGATCAAGGAGAAGCCTCTCCGGAGCCTGTCCAGGAAGTTCACGGACTGGGCATATGGGCCTGTGTCATCCTCGCTCTATGACCTCACCAACGTAGACACCACGACAGATAACTCGGTGCTGGAGATCATTGTCTACAACACCAACATTGACGTGGGTCTCCCAAGCAGATTGGCAGGGACAAGGAGTGAGGGGTGGACCCCAGGTCAGGGCTTAGGGGCCCTGGGAGGAGTCGTGCCAGGGTCCCCTAGGCCCCATATTGGTGACTTGTCTTGGTGGAGTCTGGCGTTGAGGGCATGGTCCAAGCAGGAGCTAGCTCTTTTGTTTCTGGCCCACAATGAATAATAGAGCCAAGGGTGAGGGGCTGGCTTCAGCATCCTGGGCAGTTTGGAGGCAATGAAGAGGTGTGTAGTATTGATCTTGTACACCCTAACTCATCTATATGGTCTGACTTAGAATTCTTTATTCCTCTAAACTTGAATACACATGAAGCCAGAGAGTGCTCACTAGCTGGAGCAATCTGGACCCTTTGAGGAGGAGGTGGGAGAGGAAAGGCTAGTGAAACTGGAGGCGAAAACAGAGGATCAGCTCAGACAGTTTTCAGTCCTTGGGGTGAGTGAGGCAGTGGGCTGGGCTCCATCCTTTTGTATTTTTATCAACAACCCTACTCCCCAGACGCTCCCTGGACCCTCACAGCAGCCCGTTTGGCAGGGTGGGTAAGGGTTATGGTATAGATGAAGAGATGAAGAGGTGAAGCCGAGAAAGGCTCAGGAGACGTCCTAAGGTCACAGGGATGGATACTGGAACCCTTTCTAGTCTCCAGTCCAGTGTGCAGCAGCTCTTCCTGCCAGAAGCCTCAGTGCCCCCCTCCCCCACCCCTGAGCATTGACTGCCCCAAAAAGAGCCATGGGAGCTGGAAGTTACCTTTCCAACATTTCCATCAAGTCAGTCCATTGCTCCCGATGACTGGAGCATTCTGCCACTGGCCCTGCTGACTCTGGGCTCCTGATGGGCCCTTTGAAAATGGTCCTTTTCTGCCTGCCTCATCTCCACGGGGTGTTCTATCCCCAGAACCGGCATGAGATGCTGACCCTGGAGCCCCTGCACACGCTGCTGCACATGAAGTGGAAGAAATTTGCCAAGTACATGTTCTTCTTGTCCTTCTGCTTCTATTTCTTCTACAACATCACCTTGACCCTCGTCTCTTACTACCGTCCCCGGGATGATGAGGTACGGGAGTCCTAGGGATGGGGTGGTGGGTGGAAAGGTCTGAGGTGGAGGATCTTGGAACTGTCTCATGTGGGGATGGAGAAACTGAGGCCCAGAGAGGCTAAGGGATTTTCATGGGGTCGTTCAATTATTCTCCAAAGTTCTCAGTGAACAGAACAGTTAGCCAAGCTGGAGGTGAACAGATCTAGGGTGATGCATACTGGGAGACAGTATGGGGAATAAGGAGCTCCAGGTCTTTTCAGGCTTTCTATGTGGGTCTAGAATACACTGTATCTGCCGTGAGGCCCACAGGAAGTGGGTGGAGGAGAAGTTACTTTGCCAAACTTCCCTGCTACTCTGGGCCTGGGTTTCCCATCTGTTAGTGGAGTGCAGTCTCAGCTTCACTGAACTGTGGAAGGAGGTCACATTGAGTGTCTGGTAGTGGGTATGCTTAGAAAGAACCATGCACTGGGTTGTTAGCAAATAGAGCATTGTCCCTCTCACTGCAAGGTTCTGGGTTCTCACTGAGGGTGGGGCAGGAAGGGCCAGGAGAGGGGCCTCTGGTCCATCTTGAAGGCCCAGCATGCATATACAGCCTGGTTCCTCCAGAGCTGGCGTTGCCCTTCCCTTCCCATTCCTCATCTTTACCATTCTCTTCCTTTCTTCCCCAGGACCTCCCACACCCCTTGGCCCTGGCACACAAGATGAGTTGGCTGCAACTGCTAGGGAGGATGTTTGTTCTTATCTGGGCCACGTGCATCTCCGTGAAAGAGGTGAGTGCATTTCTATATACCCTTCTAGACTGCCCTTGAGGCCAGTAGGGTGGGAGCAGGGCTGGCTTCTGCTGCAGCCTGTATTGCTACTACTGTAGGGGTTTCAGGAAGGTATTTCCTTTCTAGGCCTTAGATTCCTAAGTTATAGTACAGAGAATAATGAATAAAACAGGTTTATTCTATCTGCTCCATCCCCTCCTCTGTTCATCTGTGGAGTTGTTCACCATGTATATATCCTTCATGCCACTCTGTGTCTATCATTCTTCCTTCTTTTTTTTTTTTAATTTTTCGAGACAGGGTTTCTCTGTGCAGTTTTGGTGCCTGTCCTGGATCTCACTCTGTAGACCAGGCTGGCCTCGAACTCACAGAGAGCCACTTGGCTCTGCCTCCCGAGTGCTGGGATTAAAGGCGTGGGCCACCACCGCCTGGCTCTCATTCTTCCTTCTTGATTCTACCATCTTGTCACCTGCCTTTTATCATCTACCCAGTCACTCATTCATTCCAAATCCGACACAACCCCAGCATCATACTTCTGGTCTTTAGCCAATCATTTTCACATCTGTTGGTCCATCCATCCATCCACTACCCACTTGCTCACTCATGTACCTTCCTGATTACCCTTTCAACCAGCTGATGAATCAACCTGTAGACTTTGAGCCCTTTGTACCTGGGAGCCTGGAAAGTGTGTGTGACAGGATGGAGGGAGTTGGCCTTTCTTTAGCTCAGTTCACTAATGGGCACAAGCATTTAGACTGTAAGGTGGGTCAGAGCAGTGTTTAGAGGGAGGGAGATGACTTGTCTGGGAGTGGGAGCAGGGTGGAACCTTTGTCAGTACAGTAGGACAGGACAGGGAGGCCAGGAGAAGCAGCAGGCACAAAGGCTCAGAGGCTGGAAAATTAGGCCACATTTGGTGGGTAGTTATAGATAGTAGCTGTGTGGCTTTGTGGTTTGTGGGCTGAGGATAGGATAAGAGTGAGAAGCCTGTGGGAGGGGTCAGTGATGTTCTCCAGGCACAGGCCAGCTTCCATATCCCACCTCTCTGTGGGATACAGATACAGAGTCCTCCCAGAATCCCCACTGGGGCAGTACTTCCTAGAGCCAGGAGTGAGGGCAGGAAGGGGGTTAAGCTTGTCTTTTCTGTTGACTCCAGGGCATTGCCATTTTCCTGCTGAGACCCTCCGATCTGCAGTCTATCCTGTCAGATGCCTGGTTTCATTTTGTCTTGTAAGTAGGTCCCTTTGGTCACAACTCATAGGAAGGGCTGAAGACTCTGGAATAGGCCTCCAGCTGTGCCACCATGTCTAAGCATCCTGCTATCATTATATGGTCCAGAGACCCCCTCTGCCTCTTCTAGATAGAGATGCATGGAGATACCTGTGAAGAGGATCAGGAGCCCTTAGGACAGAGCCTGTTCTAATGGCGGGGGAAGGCTAACTCCATCTCTCAGAGTCCCAAATGGCAGGCACCCCAGAGAAGTAGAAGCTTGGGCCATCCTATTGGTGTTTGCACACAGCAGTGTGTGAGGGCGATCCCTTCCAGCCTCAATGATACCTCAAAGTTGCCACCCGAGACCGAGGTTGGTCCTAGAAGGCTCCTGAGAAATCAGGCTCATCTAGAGCCACCCTTCAAGTTCTTGGAGCAGGGTAGTAAGTTACACACCATGATGCAGTGCCCCAGCAGTGTGAGAACCCCAGCTGTTGCTGTGTTGATGGCCCTGGGCCCCAGCGAGAAAGCCCAGCTTAGCAGCCTCTCTGCATGAAGTCATATGCAGCTGACACTAAAGAATCCTCTGACATCCCACCCCCACCCCGCCCCACCACCACCCTTAATGAGCACAGGCAGACCCAGCCTGGCTCTGTGGTAATGCCATGGAGGCCACAGCTGAGGATGAAGCATGCTGGTTCTACAGCTGTGGCACACTATTGATGTCTCTCTTTTGAATATGTAGGAGGTGGATGTATCTAACTGTGTGTGTGTGTGTGTGTGTGTGTGTGTGTGTGTGTGTGTGTGTCCCTGCACGTGTACAGGAGTGCATGTGTTTGTATGTAGGTCAGAGTTTGATGTTAGGTATCTTCCTCATTCTCTGCCTTGTTTTTTGAGACCCTTTACTTTTTGAGACATGGTCTTTCACTGAATCTGGAGTTCCCGGATTGTCTAGACTGGCTAGTCAACAAGCCCCAGGGATCCGAGCCTCCTATTTCTGCCTCCCCCTGGGCTGGGATGGTGAGCACTCACTCCCACACCTGGCTTTTTCACATGGGTGCTGGGGATCTGAACTCAGGTCTTCATGCTCATGCAGGAAGGTTTATGCCAGCCAAGCCATCTCCAGCACCCACCTAGGAGTTTTATGAAGTGCGTACTGGCTCTAGAGTAGTGGTTCTCAACCTGAGAGTCACGACCCCTTTGGGGAGTCAAACGACCCTTTCACAGGGTTCACCTAAGACCATCCTGAATATCAGATATTTACATTACAATTCATTACAGTAGCAAAATTACAGTTATGAAATAACAGTGAAAATAATTTTGTGGTTGGGGTCACCACAAGATGAGGAATTGTATTAAGGGCTGCAATATTAGGGAGGTTGAGAACCACTGATCTAGAGGTATGAAGTGAGTTCTTCACCCACCAAGGACAGGTTCAGTAAGTGGACAGGCCAGATAGACACTGCCCCAGGCTGCAGGGCACACGTGTGCCTGCCACTGTTGAGAAAGTTTGATAGCTCCAGAAGACATGTTTACACAGCCTCAGCGCATTATGTCCTGCTCTTCTGCTTCTCCTTTGTTTCCTTACGGTGGAGGAAGGTAGGGCCAGCCTTCCTCACCGCAGTCCTTAGTGCGGTTCATCAGGCCTTTGTGTCTCACTTGCGGGAAAAGCAAGCTTGCTGCCGCCTAAACTTGGTTAGATACTTTGTAACTGTGCAAACACTAGAAGCGCGAGTATTTTCAACTAGGTGTCTGCAAAACTGCAAGGGTGGGCAGTATTTAGGAGGATGTTTTCATCATGTATGTTTGTTGTATGCTATATTTATTGTTTGGAAAAGTTTTATATATAATACATTTTCACCAAATCCAACTTTTACCCTCACCCCTCCACCACCTCTCATATTCCTCTACCACTTCTCCCTCCCGATTCCATGTGCTCCTTTTGTGTTTTTGGAGACAGGGTTTCACTATGTAGTTGGCTCAGAACTCACTATATAGACAAAGCTGGCAACCCCCCCCCCCCTCCGGGGCTATATCGCCAAAGAAAATACTCCCCACCCCCAGCAGCCATCAACTGCCAGTATCTCCTCAGCTGTGGGTGGGGCTTCGTGGGCCCCTCCCCTACTCATGCTGGGAAGTTTGGTTGGCTTGATCTTGTGCAGCTCTTGTACACGCTGCCAGAGCCGCTGTGATTCTGATATATACCAGCCCCGTCATACTCAGAATCTAACACTGCTTTGCAGCAGGCCTCCCCAACCTCTGGCTCTTGTAATCATTCTGCCACCTCTTCCTTCCACAATGATGTATCACATAAAACTAACATCTTTAAAATACTTTAAAAATATTTATTTAATTACGTGTGTGTATGCGTGCGTGCGTGCGTGCGTGCGTGCGTGCGTGTGAGTGTGTGTGTGTGTGTGTGTGTGTGTGTGTGTGTGTGTGTGCAGGCAGGGTGGAGGGCACATGCCATCATTGAAGTCATGCCATATATGGAAGCCAGAGGACATCTTCTGTTCTGTGAGTTCCAGGAATCAGACTCAGGTCATCAGGCTTGGCAGGAAACACCTTTACCGCTTCAGCCATCTCACTACCCCCGAAGCCTCCATCTTAACCATTTTCAAGCACAGCTCAAAGCTGTGGCGGATACGCGGTTGTGCACCCAGCCTCCAGGTTGCTTTTCTTCTTATAAAACTGAAACCCTGTACCAAGTGAATCACAACCCCCATCCGTCTTCCTCTCTGGCAACCACCCTTCTATTTTTGGTCTCTGATTTTGAGCACTCTGGGTACTTTTCACATAAGTTGAAAGATGGTAACTGTCATTTTATAACTGTGTTGCTTCATTGAGCATACATCATACCTTAACATGGTATAGGAGTAGTAAGCTTTGGGAGACTTTAAAATTATAATTAATTTCTGAGTATGAATGTTGGAAGATTTGTAATTTTTATTAAAAATACACTTTTTTTTTTTTTTTTTTTTTTTTTTTTTTTTTTTTTTTACTAAATCATTACTCTACCCTAGTGTTTCTCACATCTATGTGGGAATCGTAACCATGTAGATGATTTCCAAGCCATCCGGCCTGTGGGCTGTATGCCAGAGTCTGTTGGCATCCTGGGTTTGTATATATCTGTTTTAAGTCCCTGTCAGGTTCAACCAGCCCACACTGGTCCTGCCTTACAGCTAGTGATGCGGTTTACACTGCATTCAGACCCAGCTGAGTGGATGTCAATCAGCCTTATTTGTCTCATCAGCACCAACCTCCAGGGTGACCCCCTTGAGCGGTTAAGGTTTGGGGGTTGAATGTTTCTGCCTGCTGCTGAGAAGTAAGGCCCTTGTCTCCTGTGTCTCCTGAACAGTTTTGTCCAAGCTGTGCTTGTGATACTGTCTGTCTTCTTGTACTTGTTTGCCTACAAAGTATACCTCGCCTGCCTCGTGCTGGCCATGGCCCTGGGCTGGGCGAACATGCTGTACTACACAAGAGGCTTCCAGTCCATGGGCATGTACAGCGTCATGATCCAGAAGGTATGCTGGGAACTGTGCAGAGAGCCCTTTGAGAGCAGAGCATCCCCTTTTCAGATGCAGAAACTAAGATCTGGAGTGATAATCAGTAATCCAGCACTTTCTCCAAAACGCTACAATCTTCATTTGGTTTTGGTCAGATGTTAAATGTCCAGCCCTTAACTGGGCTTGTTGGGCATTGGATAGGAGCATACTTTATGAAGGAAATGTTCTGACCCTTGAGCATCTGGGAAAATATCTAACAATTGCCCTTTGCGATATATGTGCATGTGCATGCCTACATGAATACATAGACAAGTGTATATACATTGCATAGGTACATACATACAATAGTCATACATTTTATTCTCTGAAGGATGTCACCAGCCTGCGGTTGCAGCTGACAAGTGAGCGCTGCTCCTGTCTGACCTGAAGGCTGGTTGATGTTTTACTTTGTAAGCAGTGATGTGAGATGAAGCACTGGAGACCTAGCCTCGAGCTTGTTAGTCAAGCTGAGAGCAACTGCTTTGTTGAACTGGGTAACTGTTAGCAGGCACCGGAAGGGTTGATAATATTCCTGTGCTAGTCATGATGCAACAGCGAGAGACAGCCTATTCTTAAAAGTATCCTATTTTAACTAATGTTTTGAAAATTTCATACATGCATACAATGTATTTTGATCATATTTACCTGACTCCTCTGCCTAACTTCTCCTTCCCTCACCCACCCCTCTTAACTTCAAGTTCTCTTTTCTTTAAAAAACCCACACATATATATATATTTATATATCCACAAATATATATATATATTTATATATCCACATATGTATATAATATATATACACACCCCATACCCCCCCTAATGATTCCAATTTGTGCTGAGCATATGCTCTTGGGTATGGAGTCATCCACTGCAATGTGGTCAACTTAACAAGGCTCCACTCTTAAAGAAAAACTGACCCTTTCTCCCCCAGAAGCCATCAACTGTCCATAGCTCCTCAGCTGGGGTGGGGGATGGTGAGCCCCGCCCCACTCCATGCTAGAATGTTGATTGGCTTTTGTTCTACAGGCAACAGTTGCAGTTCATTGGCACAGTGGTCCTGGCATGTCCAGAAGACACTGTTTCCATCTGCTCTTCCCTGACCTTTGCTCTTACAGTCTTTTTGCCCGTTATCCCACAGTGGTCCCTGAGTCTTGAGGGGAGGGATATGATATAGATGTCCCACTTGTGGCTGAGCTTCCACAGACACTCATTCCTTGCACTTTGTCCAGTTGTGAGTTTCCGACAGCCCACGTTTTAAAGTTTAATCTGCCTTGACATTTTCTGGGTCACTGTCTTGAATCTAGATGTAGACATCCAGAAAACAAAGAACATTTTGTTGGTAGGATTTAAATATTTGTAGCACTGCCAGTTTTCATGGCATAAATAGTCCTACTGTGGAGGACTTGCAGTTGCTGACATGATGTCAGTTAACACAGTGGGAAGAGATGCGCAGTTGCATATTATTACATAGTATTTCCACTATCTGGTTACAATAGCTATAAATAATCCCCCAGACCATAGATAATTGCATAGTGTAGCAAAATAACCAGATAATTCTCAATTTTGAATATTTATGATCTTATAATGTAGCTTAATTATAAATTTATGTGACTAAATTTTTGAGACAGGTTCTTAATATAGCACTCAGGTTGGTTAGACGCTCATGAGCTTCATGCCTCAACCTTTAGCATGCTTGGATTATAGGCATGCTCCATTATGTTTGACTTACATGATCGAATATTTTTGCAGTACATTTTTCTTATTTTTTATTGAGCTGCAATTGAAAATTTGTGTTCATTTAAAGTGTAGAACTAGGTATAGCTATATACTGTGAAATGATAAACAATTTCAACTTAGTTAACAAAGCCGTCAGGTCCCATAGCTACCATTTATATGTGTTAGAATATTGCAGACCTCTGCTTTGGGCAAATTCAACCACACAATCTGGTATTTTTTTTATGACAGTCCCAGAACTTATTTATCTTACAACTGAATGTTTGGCTCACTTTGTCCTAATGGCCATGGTCACAACACTCATGCAAATTCAACCATCAGCTTTTAGAAGTTGATATGGGATGGCTCTGACATGCCACTGCCCCTGGGGAGGCCCAGATGTGAGACTCCCTAGAGAAAGGCATAGGGTGACTCAGACCCTGTCCTGGGAGGTGAGGTTGAGCAAAGAGAGGCCTTGGGAACAAAACAGGAAAGAGGGCTTCCTGGTAGAGGTGGGGCCTCAGCGGAGCCTGGGAGCCTCAAGGGATGAGGAGGGGATGGAGGAGGGCCAGAGTGAAGGCAGGTTAGAGTGGGTGGCAGGGAGCTGGTGCACAGAGACTGTGTGCTCACATTGGAATCATGTCTGTTTCTTTGCAGGTCATTTTGCACGATGTTCTGAAGTTCTTGTTTGTTTACATCCTGTTCTTACTTGGATTTGGAGTAGGTAATTGCTTCACATCCAACAGTCACTCCTGTGCTTGTACAGCACTTCACCCGGAGGGCAGAATGACAGAACACACAGCAGCCTCAGCAGCGTCCATTACAGTACTTGCCACATTGGTGTTTGCCAAGCAGAATCTTTTTTTCCCCCTTTCTCTCAGCAACTTGACCAAGTTGGTGTCATCACCCTTGACTCCATGGATTAATTCATGGCTGTCACTCTTACCCATCCAGCCTGTGGTTTCCCCAGACTTTCACATCTGACACCGTTTGAGATAGGCTCAGTAGATATTCCCACCCATTCTACAGATGGGGAAACGAGAGCTCACAGAAACTTGATGGGTTGTCCTCAACATCTAGGAGCAACCTAGTGCACTGCGGTAGCTTCCTCTGGGCCTCCACAGCTTGTGACTCTCATAGTTTGCTTCAGATATCTCTGTGAGAGCTTACAGTTTGTGAGGGATCAGAGATACGGAGGCGCTTTTTAAAAATCCAGTGGGAGCAGCATAACCCAATTTTATTTCTAACCGCTGCACAGACAGATGGCATGTTTTTCTCTATATCAATTTTGTGAGTTTTTTTTCTTCATTCAGTGACTGTTGACTCAAATTAGGCAGCTGCTCTCATCTGTCTGATGCCTTTTCTGGGACAGATGTTGCTTATTTGACCCTTCACCTGTTTGCTTTTCCCTCCATACATTTACACGCGCGCGCGCACACACACACACACACACACACACACACACACACACACACACACACACACGAGGCCGCCCATTCACTCACACATAAGCCCACCCATGCACTCACACCTGAGTCCACCCATTCACTCACCCAGCAACAAAAAACTGCTGTGGCGTGTTGGAGAGAAGAGAAAAGCAAGCCCAGATCTTGTTCACAGGGAACTCACAATACAGCATTAAGAGGGGGTGCGGGTCTTGGGAGAGACTGCTCAGGCTACATACAGCCAGAACCTTTGTCTATAGGGAGCCAGGGTCACACGCAGGGTAAGTGGTAACCCTGATTGACTGTGGATGAGTGAGGGCCAAGCTGGGGTACAGGAGGGGAGAAGAGGGTGGGCTTTTGTGGACAGGAAGGGCTTTCTGCAGGCTGGATGGGAAAACCAGCCTCATCAGGCTTCTGGGAGACCTGAGATGGGATGGCGAGGAGGAGAGAAGGGTGTTGAGAGGTCAGAAGGAGGAGACAGCAGTGCACACATGTGAACACGAGAGCTCTCTGAACAGACAGCCAACAGAGAGCCCAAGACCACCCGTTTTGTGCCCCCAGCGCTGGCCTCGCTGATTGAGAAGTGCGCCAAAGACAAAAAGGACTGCAGCTCTTATGGCAGCTTCAGCGACGCAGTGCTGGAGCTCTTCAAGCTCACCATAGGCCTGGGCGACCTGAACATCCAGCAGAACTCCACCTACCCCATCCTCTTCCTCTTCCTCCTCATCACCTACGTCATCCTCACCTTCGTCCTCCTCCTCAACATGCTCATTGCTCTGATGGGGGAGACGGTGGAGAATGTCTCCAAAGAGAGTGAGCGGATCTGGCGCTTGCAGGTGAGCTGAGCAGAGGCCTCTATAGGGACTTGGCTCAGCACTTCATCTTGAGGTCTTGCACGGCCATCAGCACCAGTGGATCTGGGGTGCATCCTGAGAATCTTCTTAAGCCTTACTGTAGGTTCTTCGAGAACAAGGTTTTGAACAACAGCACACACAGGGAAATGCAGACTTTGGGGATGCTTTATTCACTGTTACCTGTGACAGGTGGACATTGAAAGGTGACCTCAGAGCTTAGTCCGACCTCAACTTGATGTGCCATGCTTTGTTGACACCTATGGGAGGCCTGCCCCTTTCTGAACAGAAATAGAGGAGGAGTGGATGGGGAGGGAGAGGGGAGGTGGTGGGAGGGAACAGAAGGAGAGTAGGGAGGGAAACTGCAGTCGGATTGTAAAATAAATGAGTTAATTAAATTAATAATAGTAAAAAAAAGAAAGGTGACCTCAGGTTGAAGTAGGGGAAGTAAGAGTCTGGGACATGAAAGTGACATTTCTGCTCTGTTCTATCCTGGACTTCTCATTTCTCATTCCTGGGAACAGCTCACAGTGTGGGTCCTGTGGTGATGACCAGATTTGTGAGCTGACTAGAAATGATTCTGCTTAGGAATTGGTTGTTGGAAGTAGGGGTGTAGGAGGGGAGCATCCCTTCAGATACCTGCAGAGCTGCCTGCAAGAAAGGGACACACAGGGAGAGAAGCTTCCATTCAGCACAGAGGGTTCCAGTTACCAGAACCTTTTTAACTAGATTGTTAAAACTGGACACATAAATGGGAAAACTTCCATGGAGCCCAAGCCTCGGGGAGAGTGTGGGAATGTTTGACTTCTGAACACTTGCAGTTCCAGGACCTCAACATTTCAGTTAGGAGGCTCCTGATGTCTAGATATACTCTTTATGTCAAGCTTAAAGCAATTTAGCCATCTGTCCCCAAGTTTCTCCTTTCTCATGTTTGAATTCTGTAGACTACCTCAACCATCAGGACCTATGCATTAAGCACCAGAGAGGCTGGAGTGAGCTGTTAGATGGGGTACCTGTGGGCATACCCTCCTCTGGAGCAGGGCTCTTGGAGCAGGCTTGGAGAAACCAGTTTAGGTTTCTTTATCTCCCCAGAGAGCCAGGACCATCTTGGAGTTTGAGAAAATGTTACCAGAATGGCTGAGAAGCAGATTCCGCATGGGAGAGCTGTGCAAAGTAGCAGATGAGGACTTCCGGCTGTGTCTGCGGTAACCACGAGGGAAGGGCTGTGGGGCAGTAGTCTTTGAGGTAGGTAGGGTCAGCAAACGGGAGGTTGGAGCAGCCGCAAATCTGTGACAGTCAGAAGAGGAGCTATGTAGAAACTGGGACACCCCAAATGTGCTTGTTTACTGAGATGCGATCGTGAAGTAGTGATTACCATGGCCACACATGCAGGATCAACGAGGTGAAGTGGACGGAATGGAAAACACACGTGTCCTTCCTTAATGAAGACCCAGGGCCCATAAGACGGACAGGTACTATTGCTGGGAGGTGGTGTGAGATCCTCTATGTAGACCATGTGACTTTATGTGAATCAAGACCAAGAGCCCTGGTTTTCCTACCTGTGAAGCTGGAGGTCCTCCTCAGCTCTGACTCTCTGTAGCACTATTCAGAACAGCTTTTGAAAACTAAGTGGTTGGGGGCTGGGGTGTAGCTCAAGCCTTGGGGTCAATCCTCAGCACCACCAGGAAAAAGGACTGTACTAACACATAGGAACAGGGCAGAGTGATGTACTTCTAACTGTCCTCTGTCTCTCTCTCTCTTTCTGCCCCTTTCCCACAGCAGATTTGAGCAAAATTCAAGATTCTTCCAGGTGCAATAGTAAAACCACCCTCTATGCATTTGATGAACTAGATGAATTTCCAGAAACATCGGTGTAGAAGCCTGGCTTAGAGCTGGTATGAACACCGTGGTCTGATGCTGAGGTACTGTGCAGAGTGCTGAATTAGAAGCAAAATGCTCCTCACACTGATTGGTGGCTGCTGAGGAGCAGCTGTCAGGATCTGAAAGGAAAGCACCTTGGGTTTTGTGACTTGAGGGAGGTGAGTACAACCTCGTGACCAGCGGCCCTGAGTCTGGAAGTCTCCTGAAGTCCAGGGTGAGGAGGCACCTGCAGGTTGGCTCGGCTCCAAGACACATGTGCTGGGGAAGGAAGGAAGGAGATGGGGTCTGAGGAGTGGGGAGCAGCCTCCCCTCCTGCTCTGGCCCTATTGTTGGGGCCAGCTGCAGCTCACAGGTTCCTCCTCTACCTCCCCAGCTATGACCACATCTCCTGAATTTGTGGGAGACTTTTGATCCTGTCCCAGAATGTGCAGAGGGCCTGAGCTAAGCCAGATCTTCTGGGGAAGGAGGGGCGTGAGCTATGGAAATGCCCTTCCAGAGCCTCCAGCAAACAGGAAACTGGACTCCATCCTTGGGATGAAATCCAAGGCTAAAACTGTCTCCAACCGAGAGACGTTTTTAATAATGAATTGGCACAAGGTTTTTATTTTTAGTTCAGAAAAGCCATTTCAGTTTTGAATGAAAATTACTTCAGATGAAGTAAGCAACTTTAAAAGCTGAGAACTAGATTTTAGGCTTTTGGACTAGATGTAAGTATTATATACTAGGTCTCAGGGTAGCCAGAGTCAGGACAATAAGCTTTTCTTCACATACACGAAGCCTGAGGGAGACAGGCTGTGATCTGGGGGAAGGGTTTGGGGCCTGTCCTCTTCCAGTCTCACCCAGTGCTGGCCTTACTTTATCTGAGACAGTGATCTGTTTACAGGGTCTTAAAACTCGGAGGTGACGAGCACACGCACTGTTTCACATTGGGGGAATTCAGCAAGATACCTGAAACGCACTGCTAGCATACGTTTTTGTTAACTGTGAATTTTGAATCTGTAGCAGAAGCCTTCTGAAGAAAGAAGGTCTGCCAGACTTGGGGCTTATTTTCATATCCTCAGCCTCAGATTTTTCTTCTCCTTGAAATTTCAGAGTCAGTTTGGAGATAGAAGAATTTTTCCAGTGACTAGAAATGCAATAATGTCCCTTCCTACTCTTCTGTTATTTACTAAAAGGATTCACATGGAAAGGTGTGAGATGAAATTATAGATGTTTACAATTTTTTTAAAAAAATGTTAAATGGATCAGAAATAAGTTGGGTCTTTAGAAAACTTGGCATTTGGTGAGCTAATCTGACTGGAGACCAGGTAATGCAGTCCATTCTGGCAGTCTTCTCCATTCTGCAATGTTCTGTGTGCCAGCTTAACTGGGCAGGTGAAAAGTTGGCCATTCCGTCCTGCATGGCCAGGTGGAACACTGGAGACTGCCCAGACTGCCCAGATATGCTCCCAACGGGCAGAAATGGGGACAGAAATAGATTAAGATTGTGGTTCCATTCAGGAAACAGCTGCCTCAGCTTTTGGAGGTGTTCAAGAAATGAGCATTTATGGGGGAAGATGTTGACAAAAGCAATCAGGTGAATTTAAGGTTCCTAGACATTCTACAAACCAGTATTATACAGCTGGAGCCCCTCTGAGTTATCTTGAACAGATGTCCTTGTTTGAAGTGTAACCATTGGCTCTAGGGAGCTAGGACTCTAGCTTTGCTTTGACTTGAAGTTGGTAGATAAAACCACTTAGCTTTGCATTTCCCACTGGGATGGAAGGTGGGCAATTGGGAAGATAGAAACAACGAGCTGGACCTTCGTCTTCTTACGTGTTGTAGAGATCTGCTTTCTGTGGATCCAGATGGAATTTGTTGACAAAACCATTTCTGAACTGGATATTCATCTAAATGTGAGATTCCCCAAAGGCTTTCAGCCCGGAGGGTCAAGCTAAGAGGGTTCATCAAACCAAGGAAGGGAAGCTTGACAAAAACTGTCCTGCTCAAAAGGACCAAATTCCTCACCGTATGCCTGGACACTCAGGCTCTGGAATGAACATAGACTTGTTCAAAGTCATGTCAGAGCAGGTGAGGCTAGGATGTCCTCATATCTGGGCCACAGGTATCCTTCTGCACAGCTTTTATCATTGGGTCTTTTTGTAGTTGGCACATTCAGGGGCTAGGTTTTTTTCCCCTCACATGACTTGGAAGTTAGCATTGTCCTTACAACCCCAATGACAAGTCTACACATCAAATGTGCCTAAAGCCACACAATAACAACATAATAACAACAAAACAATACACACCACTGACTCCATGGGCCTATCAGGACATCCTTAAAACTCCATGATTTACATTTCAGTAATGTAGGGGGAAGAGGTTTTCCAGGGATAGGATCGAAAATACTCAGACAGTAGTGGCAAACCCTGTTTTGGCTGAACATTTCCCCAGGAAGAGATCTGTATTCTAGACATTAGGTTGTGTGTCTGGAATAACACAGGTGCTTACCTTCCTTCCCGGTGCCGGGGGAAGGAGTAATAAGTTGTACTGTGAAGTCATTGAGCTCTTAGGCACCTGCCCAAGAGAGTACAGTATTATTGAGGTTCCTTTCCTTTCTCAGGGCCTGGTGACTGTCTCCTTTAGCTCTGGGTGAGGCTCAGGGAGACAGGCCCTCACCAGAGTCTGTAAGCCATACTTGACTTCTGCATTGACTTAGATGTTTTTAATCTTATTTTATAGTTACTGTGACCTTAGTTCCAGATACAGAATTATCATCTTGTTCTCACTGGATGTGCCTGATTCTTGTAAAAATTAATTTATAGACTGTTCTTAGGGTTGTATGTGTGAAACTACATGTTCAAGAAATCATAAAAAGGAAGACTGCTTTGGTCTCATTGAGGAAATAGTTTTGATTTCTAATAAATATTTATTTTGTCATGCCATGGCCATGATTTTGTCTTTGCCTTGTATGTGTAAATATGAAGACCAGCTAGAAATCCTAGAGTGTTTCTTAACAGGAATGGGTAAAAGTAAGATTGGTGTTTGGATCTAAAGCATTGCTGCTGTATCCCATTCAGCGGCAGAGCCAGCATGCTGCATTACACGTCACCTTCGTGCAGTGTCTACATCTCAAAGTGCATCCACAACTGGCATCCTATTTGAGGTATTTGTCAACTTTATTTTAATTTTAAAAAAGATTTACCTTGGGGCTGGAGAGATGGCTCAGTGGTTAAGAGCACTGTCTGCTTTTCCAGAGGACCCAAGTTCAATTCCCAGCACCCACATGGCAGCTCACAACTGTCTGTAATTCCAATTGCAAGGGATCTGATACCATCACACAGCCATACAGGCAGACAAAACACCAATGCACATAAAACAACAAAATAAATCATTAAAAATTAAAAAAAGATTTATCTTAATTTATGTGTCTGTGTGTGTCTGTGTATATACATGCATATGCATTTTGCTCATGGAGGCCAGAAGAGGGCACCAGTTCTGGAGCTGGAGTTACAGGTGGTTGTGAGCTGTGTTGGGAATCCATTTAAGGTTATCTGCAAGATCAGCACGTTCTTTTAACTACCAAGCCAACTCTCCAGCCTGATTCAGTAACTTTTGAAGTTATAGGAAACCACAGCCAGATGATGTTAGCAGTTCAGGCCTTCCGACTCCCCAACTCTATCCATGTTTTGCTGATTCTCCACCTGTCTTGCATGCATGTAAACTGGTGGCTTCTCCTGGAGACAAGAAGGCATCACCCCCTGCTCTCTCACATCCAGGATTTCCGTGATGAGGCAATGAGAGTTGCCATCAGACTAACTCGTACATTTGGGTGTTTTCCATTCTTTTGGGTTACCTCATAGGATGGGAATTTTGGATTTCAAAAATTGCAACTGATTTATTATCAGGTGGAATACTACCTTTGATGATTTATTTACTTACTTTACTGAATAACTTAATTCAGAATAATTTCTTTCTTTCTATCTCTGGTTGAAAGGCAAAGAAGTGGGAATTGCACACAGTCACATCCCAGGTTAAACAGATTTTGTCCATAATCTGGGAATGATCTTCGAATGATGATAGTCTGGGTGGGCTGATAGAAAAAGGGTGAAATACCTGTTGTAGGACCTACTTCTATGGGTTGTAGTATTAAGGCCACTCCACGTAGTTAAAAGGAGGTTTATTTTGTGGGGTAACTTACAAGTAAAGGGATAGGTTACAGGGTCTGGGAGAGGTATAGCGCAGTTCAGCAGTGTTCTCTGGAAAACTCTGCTCAATCTACCTCCAGCATTCAGGATCTAGGAACCAAGAGAGCTGTCATGTCCGGATCTCGGGTCTTAAGGCTCCTCTCTCAGCCCTGCCTTGTAGCCATGACAGTTACTGAAGCCTCAATGGGGGTAGTACTTCCAGGTCAAAGCTGGAATAGCTACCCACTACATACTTTTGTGGCTGGAATGCCTAGGTCATTAGGCATGTCCATTTTTATGGTTGCCGATACTGTGAAAAATTACCTGCTTAAAGGATCACTGTCTTTTTGGTCAGCTACATTCCAAAGCACTTAATAAGGTTGATTACCTTAACAACGTAGTTTTCTGAGTTGCTGGATATAGGTCACAGTTTAGTGGGTGGGGAAATCAAGATCTGGAGGCAGGTGGAACAGTGTGGAAAAGTTGTAATGCTTTTTTTCTGGCCCAAAGATCCAGGTTCTCTGAAGTTTAGTCAGACCAGTATCCAGAGATGCTGCCTTCATCACCTCTCCAACCAGGATCGCAAAGTTCTGCAGAAAGGAAGGAATCCAGCCCAGTTCTCTAGACATGTGCCTCACCTACTGAGTGTGAGGACTTAGTCCCAACTCTACTAAAATTGGACACTCATGATGTGCATTAACAGAGAATACAAGTGTGAATAATCAGAAGGTGCTAGAAAAGGGGGAGAATGAGTATTTATTATATGTCACGTGCCATACATTTTTGCATCCCTTGTCTTCAGTAACTTTTGCCACACTCCTGGTGGCTTCTCCATTTCCTCCATCAGTTGTCTGGTTCTGTTTTCTAGTAGCTACCTCAAAACTGTCACTGACTCTGTCACTTCCCTTTCCATGCCTGTAGTTGGTTTAGTCTCCTAGCTGGCAGTGGAAATGGAGACCATCGGATAGGGACACCTTCAGCTTTTGACCATCAAACCTATCATTTCACTTGTATCCACCACTTTCTTGTGAGTTCTTAGGTCATTTCGTGTGGCAAAAGTTAATTTTTCCACTTGATAGATTTATTACTAAAATAGGATACTTGCATTGAACTAAATTAGCCTATCAATAGTTACCATGGTTCTAGTAACCCCCCTCCCCAATTTGTAATATAACAATCTCCTATAGACTCCAGGTTTTGATTGACTTGGTTTTTGAATCAAATCTCTAGTTTTTTTGCGGGGGAGGGCACAAATTCAGGAAATGTCAATCTTCTTTTTCTGGCTTGGTAAGATGTAACATTTTGGTCAGTGCCCTTTACTTTGTGAATATCTGAATGGAGCGTGTGCATAACTGTGAAACCCAGTAAGCTTGTGTGGCAGCCATGGTTGAAATCTTCTACAGGTGTTCCTTTTAGTGCCAAGCACTGTAAAATCCCTCACAGGAGTGCTGAGAACTGTGAAACCACAAGGGGGGAGTGCGGAGCATCCTGGGCCATCCTGGACAGGAGTTCACTTATCACGGACTGGATACCTGCTGAGGAACCACCACCTGCCAAAAACTGTACCAGCTTCATGCGGTTGTGTTGGGGTGGAAGGTATTAGAGGCATCTATCTCTGCAGGTTAAGTAACAAGTCTCCCGAAGACAGTGTAGGAGGGAATGTAGATACCAAAAAGCTTTGGGAGTCCCCTAAGAAGCCATTCTCCTTCAGGCTTTTTGTGGGGGATGTGCACAAGGCCTTCAGACATGCTTTGGTCCAGTGGTCCTGGTATGTTTCTGACTTGCACCTCCCAGCACCAAGGCTTTGATCACAGCAGTTTCTAGAGTTCCTCTCACTGCCTCTGCTCATTGGCTCCTCCTCCTGACTTGGTGACTATCTGCAGCTCCCCATGGCTCCCTATTCCTGTCCCAGTGGTCCCCTGTGGTCTCAGCATCACCCAGGAGACTCAACAACCCATATCTTCCAGAGAAGGCCTTCCAGATGGTATCACACTTGCAGGATTAGTTCTCACTTGTCTGACGAAACTTGCCAGGCTCCTGCTCTGTGTTAAGTGCTATGGATACTACAAGGAACAAGATGAGCTATCCCAGCTCTCTGTGTTCCAGTTTAATCAAAGGCAGAGACACTGTCTCCTGCTTAAATTTTATTAACTATTGTTCTGGAGTTTTGTGAAGTGATAGGCTGGTAGTGTACTTGTTAGACACAGTGGTCTTACCTAAACCAAGTCACATTAAGAACAAGCATCACCAGATCCAGGAAGAGTTGGCATGTATGCTGGCTAGTTTTTAATGTCAACTTGACACAGGCTAGAGTCATCGGGTAGAGAGAACCTCGGTTGAGAAAATGCCTCCATAATATTGGCCGGTAGGCAAACCTGAGGGAGAGTTTTTTGATTCATGGTTGATGTTGGAGTCCCAGTTCACTGTGGGCAGTGCCATGTGTCTTAGATGATGTAAGAAAGCAGCTGAGCAAGCCACGAGCAAGCCAGTAAGCAGAGTTTCTCGCTGGCAGTTGTTACAGTTCCTGCCTTCAGTTCCTGCCCTGACGTTCTTTGATGATGGACTGTAATACGGAACTATAAGGTGAAATAAACTATTTTTTCCTCAAGTTGCTTTAGACATAATGTTTTACCACAGTAATAGAAAACCTACCTCAGATACGGGGATGAACTCCTAAAGGGAGGAACAACATGGGAAAGCCCAGGGCAGCAGGGACCTTGTATCTGAGAACCGAAGAACCCAGACTGGGCCCCAATTGCTTGGAGCAAGGGGCCAAGTGACACGGAGCTGGAAGGGTGGCAGAAGCCAGAGCATGCAGGACTGGTCCGGCTACCGTGAGGCTTTGAGGTTTTGCCTCAAGGAAAAGCCATGGCAAAGTTATATAGGGGAATTATTGAGTGTGAATTTTTCTGGGGCAGCATTCTTAGAAGGAAGGGGCTTTTCCACCTTTCTGCCGTCCTTAGTAAGCCTGAAGTGTGGAAGAGAATGAGTTTCACCTGGGAGTAATGGACGCGGCATAAGAAGTGACTGGGAAAGAACATGCAAATGTGTCTGGGTAGAGAAACGTGTGTTTGATGCACACATTTATTCTACCAGCCTTTCTTGGCACATTCTGGGTTTTCGATAGTGATGAAGACAGTGTTGATGTCGTCAAGGTGGGATGAAAGGGGGGGAGGGCAAAGGTGTAACTGAGTGAGATAAAGGGAGTTTCAGAAGGCTCTGCACACACAATGAGAGCTGAGTTGTGTTCTGAACCATAGGCTAGGGCAAGATCAGTCTGGGGAGGGGGGAAGTGCTGGAAGGTGAGAAAATTCTAGAGGAAGAACTAGCTTGGGTGAGAGCTCTTCTTGCCTCAGAGGGCATCAGGAACACAGTGTGGTGCACAGGCATACATTCAGGCAAAACACCCATACACACAAAAAATGTACAGACCTTTATGAAGGTAAAGGTGCTTATAGCCATGACTGACAACCTGAGTTTGATTCCTGGGATCCACATAGTGGAAGGAGAGAATCCACTTCTGACCATTGTTCTCTGACCTTCACATGTATTTTGTAGCTTGCATGTACATGAACAGACACACACACTAAATAAATGCATACATGTAAAATAAAAAATCACATTTAATTAGATAGCACCCATTCAGGATATCATGGGCATAGACATAATCACATATAATTAGAAATTCTGAAGACTATAA